TTCGGGTGTATCGGTCTAAAATCAGTCTTGGTCCTACATTTATATTCTTCTTTTTCCTGGCACAAAAAATGCCCTGAAATGTTTGGTTTTCGCCTGTTTTGGTTTTTTTTTTAATGTTTTTATTTTGGGCTCCCGGGGTTTTGCCAGCTGCTCTCCGCAATTCCTCGGGGTGGAAATCAAAGAGATTTGAGGTTTTGGGAGGAGCAGGAGGAAGAGCCGTGCAGGGAAAATCGGCCGCGGGTTCGAAGGGAAGGCGGGGCGAGATCGGGACCCGAAATCGGGGATGGAAAAGGARAAATAAATCCCAATTCCTTCTGGGAAAACCTCGGGAAGCGAGGGCGAAGAAAGAGAATTTGGGGTTTTTTTGTCGTATTCTTTTTTTTACAATTCCGTCGCCCTCATCCCGCCTCGACTCCTCCCGTAACACAAGAAATTCCCTTTTTTTCTCGCAGATTCTCCCGTTTTCSCCGCCGAGATGTCTCTGAACCAGATGCAGATCAAGCAGGAGCTCACCCTCCCTGCCGGCCTGGTCAAACAGAGCGCGGGGCCCGGGCCGTGCCCGCCGCARAATTCCCAAACTCAGGGTCCCGAGCCGCTCCCGGCAGCCGAGAAATGCCCGGGGAAAGCTGTGGAACTGGGAAAAGTGGCGGAACCGGGAAAAGGGGAAGCTCCGGTGGTTGTGGTGCCCCAGTGCCCKCCCCAGGAGCAGCAGAAGCAGCAAACGCAGCTCCCCCCAACATTCCCAACCGCGCCCGCTCCGAGCCTGGGAGAGAAATCCTGCCGGGAACAGATCCCGGGAGCGCTGGAGGGGCAGGAGGCCAAGGAAATCCCGGTATCCAAAGAAATCCCGGTATCCAAGGAAATCCCGATGGCCAAAGAAATCCCGGTGGCCAAGGAAATCCCGGTGCCCGTTCCCGTTCCCTGCTCTGAGGCGGCCGCGTGTGCGCAGGAGAAGCAGCAGTGCAAGGAAATCCCGGTGTCCATCCCAGAAAAACAGGAATGCAAGGAAATCCCGGTGTCTATCCCAGGAAAACAAGAATGCAAGGAAATCCCGGTGCCGAAGGAAATCCCGGTGTCCGTCCCGGTTCCCTGCCCCGAACCCGCTCAGTGTGCGCAGGAAAAGCAGCAGTGCAAGGAAATCCCGGTGTCCATCCCAGAAAAGCAGGAATGCAAGGACACCCCAGTCCCGATCCCAGTCCCACTTCCAGACCCCGT